TAACCTAACTCAACTAAAATTCTAATATTTCGAATCTTCAGTTCCTTCTATAGCTGATGCCTGTTAAAATATACTACGTCATACATATAGTTTAGGACTAGAAATAATCAGAACGAACACAGCCTCAGGAAGAATGAATGTAGGCTCAAAGACTAGCTCGAATTTGGGCAAACGCAGCATGCTAAGACAAATACAAATCTAAAAGTTGACTTCAGACTTATGTTCCCTTGTCCAATACTTGTCTAATTAAGTTTGCAGTTTTGTAATTCTTGAGTTAACTCGAACACACACGCACAAGCACACAAAACACACACACACATGCATACATACAAATACAGGAGCAAACACATACAACAACTAAAATACTTAGCGAAAATAATTTATGCAAAAATGTATAGAAGCGGATTCTAGAACAATCCCGTTTTCTCGCCATGACACTTTCTAATCTTAAAAGGGGAACAAAATTTCACTATGCATATTTAGTATGTAGCCGTGCAGCAGCTGCCTATATAAAGCAGCTAATGCTGTGATGGTTGTCACTTTTTTTACGATAAATTGGTTGTTAAAGGCTGCGAGCCGAGAATGCACGTGTTAAAATTCGTTGTTGGATGCGTTATCCTAAATATGGTCGTCATTGCGATGGCAACAAAGTATGCGAGGCAAATTTGATTCATTGTTCTTTGAACTAAACCATAACAGTGAAGTATCCAGAGGAGAGTAACATACACTTCCTCACTGCAAGTAGAAGATGCGCAAGTTTGTCGCATATGGCAGGCAAAAGAGGAAGTCGCCTAGAAGTAACAATACTCTAAGGCCATAAAGTACCATAAATGAGTGGATTTTCAACTGGAACATTGCAAATCAACTAAAAAAATGATCACTTTGCCGAAGAAAAAGACAGAATAAGACGACTATTTTCTGCAAAAGCCTATAACTGTTGCTATTTTAATGATAGTGAAGATATGAGCGAGGGCTAGTTTCTCGATTATTACATGCCGGGCACATCCCTGAACTGATGTTTTATTAGCTAATGGCGAATGTCCCGTTAACTGAAAAACGATAGAACTAAGAAAACAGCCAGAAGTCGGTGATAAATAATTGCAATCTAATGCAGGTGCTCAAGCGAAGAAGTGTCGCTTTCTGTGGTGACTTTGAAGCTTGGCGTGCCGCTGGTAATCTCGGAGACGTTGCTGATAATGACGCTGTATCCGGATGAGATATTCGATAGCCTGATTGGTGATACACAAGTTTTCAGCGAATTATTCGATCCCGAAGTAGAACAATCTTTTGGGGTTACAGAAGCACATGTAGTACATTCTCATGGTGATGTACCGCCACCGAGACGCCGAACCATCTTTGCTGCTGATTCTTAATTCTGTTTAAATTAAAAAAAAAAAA